TTTTATGTGTTCATTTATTCATGGAAGAATGTATTTCAGACAAGAGTGATCTCCAAAATCACAATAAGTTTAGATTATAGAAATGCAATGAATGCACCATTCTTATGGCCAAAGTTACAATAATGACTACACGACCCAAGTATGATGATAAATCTACAATTGGGAAGTGAAAAGCCGTACTGTAGTTTCCCAGCATGCAACATGTGTTATCACCTTTGTTTTCTGTAGTCCTCATTAATATCTGTAAGAAAGGGTGTTTTATTGTCTTTCATTTCATTTCATTTCTTTGATATTTTCAGGCTGATCAGTGAATCACTTCCTGTCTACCAATCCAGTCATTTCTCCTCCCCATCACAGTACTCCTCTTCAACTCTCACACCTCTGTCTTCATCATCCGTTCCTAGGGACATTTCAGCAACTTCTCTCCAGTCGGGTGCAACTCCATCATCATCTTTCCCATCCTCACATCTCTATTCAACTCTTCCTACTCTTTCCTCATCTATCTCTTCATCAGCTGAGTTTCCAACCACTAGTCCATCCTACCAATCAGTGCATAGCAACTACAGTGTAACTAACACATCATCCCCATATCCTAATAATACTAACTCACCATCATACCATCCATCAATCTCACATGGTCATCATTCATTGAATATCCATCAACGTGCACTTCCCTCTCAAGATATTGTGCAGTCGTTAAATCATCAATTGACTACTTGCCCATCACGCACACATCACACGCTGCCTGCCGCTGCACGCCAACCAGAGAAAAAGCAAGAATACTATGAGGAAATGTATAATCAAAATGCACACTCAATTTCACAATTGCCCAATCGCCAAATGCCTTCATTATCACGATACCTTGTAATGCCACAGTCAAGCCAATCACCTGCACCCAACCACAGCTTGCCATCCTCAATCCCAGCATCTTATGGCTATTCTACCATAGCAGGAACCTCACCATCTCAGAAAGCCAGTGCTCACTCAATTGCATCACCAATACTTGTTGAGTCTAACCCATCGGTGACGACTGTGACTTTAACTAACCCTACGTATGCCATGTCTATCTCTCAAGCCTCTTACTATTCACAAAACTCGCTTTCTCCAACGCAAGAATCATACTCAGTAGCTAATCAAAATGTAAGAGCGCCCTCTCCATATGAGCTTACATACTCGCAAACTGAGCAACTTGACTCTACTATGCATTCTCAGAATCTTTCTCTCTTTTCTTCTTCGCTCAGTCCGCAAAATATTTCTCCTCGAGGCGGCTACCTGCCAGCTTTCAGTGAGAGCACGTCACAGCACTCTACCCTGTTATCTGATAGGTCGTCACATCAACATAAAAGCCAGCCTGCTGATGATATAGTGTCTGCTAAAACACAGCAAGAAGAGCCCAATCTGACTGGTTTGGTCCGCAATAGAGTAGCAGGTGAGTGGTTCATCCAATTTAAATCTAACATGTACTTTCTGATTGGCTCACTGGTTAGGTAGTGGGATTCGAGTAGCCAATCGTGTGTTATCTTAAAAAGCACAGCGTAAATTACATGTAATTATAATAGGTGTGAATTTTTTCGCCAGCCTTGAAATAATACAAATTTTGCATTTTAGTTCTTGGGATGAAAACATCTCTTAAAAGGGTGGTGGTCATTGTATTTGATGGTGGACCCCCATGTTAGGCATAGTATCATACATTTTATATGGGTCATTTGGCTGTGAGTGAAATTTCAAAAAATTATTCACTCCAATCTACAAAACATTTACGCCGGTGAGATTCAAACAACATTTTTTTTTGAAGAGTGATGTTAATTTCATTTCATTGTAAACAGGTTACCACGCACAGTTAATCAGAGAAGAACTAGAATATGAAAGAGGACGCCAACCTGAACGTCAACCGCCAACACACCCAGTGCAGCGATCAAAAAGTGCTGGTGGATACGATTCACAGAGTGCGTACAACAGATATGCACCAAAACGAGAAGAAGTTCCTCGCAGACGTGCTCGCAGCCCTTCCTTTGAAATGTTAATAACAAATCCTGGTGGCCAACCCAAATATGTACGTTGATTTCCGTCTCACTTGTTATGAATGTCACAAGGAATAGTGGCATTCATTGTCACTGTTGGTGTTTATATTTTCAATAAGCATGTGATTTCACTAGGTCAATAATTCCAAATTCTACATTTTTTATAATCATAATCAATGAAATTTGAAAAATTGTGAAAATATGGAATGATTTTATTTTATTATTTTTTTTAATAATTTAATGTTTTTTCTCAATAGTGGACTAACTTGGTTGCTCTTGACAATACTCAGAATACATTGTGTGTTTTTAGTCCCCGTTCGGACGAAGTCCGAAAACGGGGACTTATAATTCGGTCTCCGTCCGTCCGTGTGTCCGTGTGTCCGTGCGTCCGTCCGTCCATGTGTCCGTGCGTCCGTCCGGAGTCATATCTCAGAATCCCTTGGACCGATTCCGTTCATTCTTTGCATGTGCCTAGTACTTTATGTGGGACATGTGCACATGCAGTGGTTTAGCGATTCGATTCAAAATGGCCGACTGGCAGCCATCTTGTTTTTTGAAAATGTTGTATTTTGGTCATGCTTTGTCAGTTTTCATTCAAACTGGGTACATAGATTATACATGTTAGGATACATGTCCATGATGATTTATTTCACAATTGGATCAAAGATGGCCGACTGGCAGCCATCTTGTTTTTTGAAAATGTTGTATTTTGGACATGCTTTGTCAGTTTTCATTCAAATTTAGTACATAGATCATACATGTTATGAT